ATATTTTTCCAAAAATTGGTGTTATTCAAAATAGTTTGCATTCCAAGATTGGTTGAAATTTTCCCAATAGTTCTTTTTACAGAACACTCTGGACTCTTGAATTATGATCACCATGTACTGTACATTACACTGTACGAAAGTTTGAATTACTGTACATTGCAAAAGACGTACAGTGGGTGATCGTTAATGAACAGTTTGGGCTGTGAACAAATTAGACAACAAATATGTTCACGAAAGATTTTTATGTTTGGATAACAAACACCTCACAGAACAAACACAAGAAGCAGCGACGGTGCTTTTAAGATTTTTAAAACTATATTTTACTGGCATCTATGGTTTATAGACATTCAGTTACGTACATAACTTTTTTTGCACTAGTTGATTTCTGTTTTCTGAATTTTTGTAAGTGCTTTTCTACACTTATTAAAAAAAACTATTATTGTTATGGGACCTAAAAAGAGTAAACTGTCAAGAACTGTGTTCATTATAGAAACTAAGCAAGAGATAACCAAGATAGAGAGTGGGCAGAAGATGTCTGTTGTTGTTAGGCAGTATGGCTTAACAAGTCTAAGTAGGTACAATCTTAGCTAAGAAATATATATTCAAGAAGACTCAAGCAGATAAAGGAGTAACAAAACTCATATCTGAGAAACAAAGATGTGCCATCCATGAAAAAAATGGAGAGATTGCTTTTAGTTTATTACATATAAATATAGTAAGGAATTATATAATTTATTTATTTATTTTTTTGGGGTTTCCAGAATGAATTAACCAAATTACCATAAAAATCTATGATAAATCAATAATCAGTTAATGAACAATTTGGCTAGCAAACATTGTCTTTGAATGGATTATGTTCATTAACCAATCACCCACTATATAGTATTACGCAAATTTTTATTCCTTCATTTTTTACATTTTTTATCTGTGTTAAAATTTTAGCAGGATTCAGTATGGAAATGCTCTGTATGTCAATTTTATAACATGTGGCCAGAAATTGGATATCCCAAAGGTGGTCACATGAATGAGGGTTTTCTGTATATAGATAAATGAATAACCACTAAAAATATTGAATTTATAAAAATAGATGAAGTTTAGTGAAAAATCTGTAAAATAACATTAAATAGAGTTCCTACAGTCAATTTTCCATTTAATACATCGGATTACTTATAAACTTGAAAAATTTTCTATCTATATTTAATATTTTAAAAACAATGTATCCTTTATTTTTTCTTTCTATTAATAAATGTTTTCAAGAAGTCAAATATAAACTTATTTTTGTCCCGAGCACCTTTCTCAACTCTACTGCCATTTACACACTTTGTGCATATAATCTGCATGTTGTTTTTCAGTACAATTTGAAACAGTGTGGGTTATGTATCAGTATGTGTTATATGTAGATTTTAAATTGCAATCATAAACCTGAACCTATAGAATAATGGCTATTCTCATAGGGACATGGGATATGTAAAGGTTTTATTTTTGTTCTAGCAATTTTTTGCAGGGAACACACCACCATATGAAGAATATAAAATGTTCAATAACATATGAAAAAGTTTTTTTTGTTTAATTTACATTAAAATACAGTTCTAGCTTGTTACACCAGGGGTTGCTGGGTTATAAGACAAAAATACCAGATGTGCAAACCAAATACAGTACTTTTTCACAGTGTAACACTTTTGACTCAATGCATGCAAGTGCTATATGTTACCCGTCACAGTAACCAAGTGAATATATATTTTTTTAAATTATATCCTTTTTTGAATGAATTATATTTAATTTGTTATTTTTAAAAAGTTTTTGCCAGATGGTGTTACATGCAAAGCCAGTAAATTGGATGCAAGCAGAAATTGATTTATAGAAATCAAATCAATATTTTGGGGTAGTATATATGACATTATCTAAGTTAGAAGTATGTTAATGTAATTGCCAAGTTTCATAATAATTGATCAAATGTCCTAGGAATGCATAGTAAACAAACACTTGAGCAATGATGTTTTGGAAGTGAACAAGAAATCATGAATTTTTACTTGCTAAAAGATAAACTTATTAAAGAAAGACCCAAGTATATGAAGCAACAGACACTGCACAATATGTTCAAGAAAATAGCCAGAAAGCAGGATGAAGCAGCACTGGTGTCCACACTTGATAATCACCACCAACATTTCCTCTACAAGTTGAAGTTGTTCCTATTTCTGAGGATGTGGTCAATCATGAAGATGATCATCCTGACAGTCCTTCTGCTATTTAATTTCTTTTTGAGGATAGAGTAATGATTTAAATTCTGTAGAACTGTTTTATTTAGTTGATGAACATTAAAATTTCATTTGCTTTTCATTTAGTGTTCATTTTCTTTCTTTAAAGGACTGTACAGATAGTCATTTTCTGTTAAATATATACAGCATATCATTGGTGCACAAGAATAGTGACACAACTCAAAAAAATAGATCTTTCAGAACAGCCATTTAAAAGTTTCTTGTTTCCTGCAAGGCTTTGTCATGATCTTGGATTTTTAAAATTTTCAAATCTTTTTTGGAAATAAATATTAGTGTTCGATTTTCCACATAAAAATATGGTGAGTTTGCTATACATTTCTACAATAAACTCGAAATTGGAAATTTTTGAGTTGTGTCACTATTCTTGTGCACCAACGATATATAACAATAAAAAATCTGGCACTTCTCAAATTTGGATGTTGCCAGATTTTTTATGGTTATATATCATTGGTGCACAAGAATAGTGAATTTCATAATTTCAGAATCAGTGTAAATATGAAATGTAGGCACATTATCATCATCATCTGTTAAATCAATCAATCCTGTTAAAACATCTTCATTTATCCTTGATGAAAGTTCCTTGGCATCAGGATTAGTTATATCTTTAACATAAGCAAGAAGTTCCTGTTTAAGCTGCTTTTCTTTCAGAACACTAATCCCTGCAAAATTATTTTCAGTGTCTTCGTTACAATGAAAAGTAAACATTACACTTGGCCATAATTTATACCACCCATTTTTCAGGTGTTGATGTTTTCAGACTTCCACGCATTGACAACATAGTACACTGCATCTTTAATGTTGAATATTTTTATGAACTTATGTATTGGGATGCCTGAATTAACTGAACTGACTAGGCACCTCATTAACAGGGATCAACACTTACACTTCATAGAATGTATAACATTGTCCTGTGGTTGAATTAGTGATGTGCAATTGGGTGGGAGGTAAACAACAAAAACATTATCTTTCACTAGAAGATTGGCTTTTGGATGTGCCAAACAATTGTCTAAAAGAAGTATCTAGAATCTAGTCCAACTGAGTTACAGTGGGCCCTAGCTTCAGGAACAAAACATTTTTGAAAACAATGTAATATCAGTGGTAACCAACCCTTTCTTGCTGACACAGTAATGGACAGGAAACTGTCATTACCTTGAAGGCCCTTGGATGAACTCTTTTCCTGATACAGTAGAGCGTCGTTTATCCAAATCAATTGGGGACTGGGGTGGTTCGGATAACTTATTTTTCAGATAACGAATCATGTACAGAAAAATATATTAATTTACCCCGTGTTGAAATTTTTCTCCGTTGCGTGTCGCTTCGCGTTGAATTTTCGTCGATGTTAAGCCTAACGAAGACTATTGTATCATTAAAAATTATTTTTTTATTTTGTACAAACAAAATAAATATATTGAAAAATATAAAAACAATAAAAAATTATACTTCAGATGTTTATTTAGTATCAAAAACATAAAATATTTGAGTAGCCCGAGAAATAGCCAAAGATTGCAGTGCCACAGCACTAGCGAAAATTTAAATTTGCTGACTGGAATGCTTTCGGATAACAGACGTTTCGGATAACCAGCTTTCGGATAAACGACGCTCTACTGTAATATGAAACTTACACTTATGAATACCCGCAGCATTATAGTAGCACATTACCATGACATGATCCTTGAAAGCTTTAAACCTCAATGATGATTTTGCATCCTCGGTTGTCAGAGTTTTCTTTGGCATACATCTCCAAAACAAGGCAGTCTTATCAGCATTGTACACTTGTTCAGGACTTAAATGTTTATTACTAACTTTGCAAATTCATTCAATATGCACTAGCTGCATCTGTCTGCTGAATGTTTTTCACCACACACCACATGAAACTGTAAGCCATGTTGAGACTTGAATACAGCCAACCTTCTGAATATTAACACTTGTGTTGCAATTGCAGCTCTTCATGAAACACTTTGGCTGTTCCTTTAATAAATCACAAGAAATTTCCACACCTTCACTTATACGAAGATTAAACCAGGTTATGAGAACTTTGTCCAGTCCAAACTTTTATCCTCTGTCATTGACTTACAAATATTTGTTTTTTTTTTTTTTTGATCCACTGTCAGAAAAGAACTTTAGAAGTTTTTCTTTGTTTTTTAATATCATACACTGTTGAAGAGCCAATGTCTTAGATTTCATAAATGGTTTACACAGACACACTGCTATAAAGATTTTTTAGCATTTACACTTTCTCTGTGATCGACAATGCACAATGTTTACATTTTATACCACCTCTTTTCTTTGCTGAATCCATAATGGAGCTATATAGCAGTAAATAAATGATAAAATGAGAATATGCAGAAATACCTGTTAGCATGTGCGAGCAAGACCCAATAGCTGATTCTAGAGTATAGTGCCATCTAAACATAAGCAACATCTCCAGAAAACAGTGGTGTGCCAACGCAATAAATTTGAAAATGTGCTCTGAAATCCATGCCAGAAATCAAAGAAACTGGATTTTTGAATATAATGTATATGTAAATTAATGTACATGTAAATTTCAGCTTCTTTACCATGTTCTGTATTGTTTTGATTTTTTAAATAAAATGGAGGGCAGAAATTTGGATAAATCTCAATTTTAATAATTATAATTTCATTGTTGTTAGTAAAATGCTAAAAAGTATATAAAATATGATTTAAATAAATTATTACTGTAACATATAAATTAAAAACAACAAATTGTTTCAGAGAGTGTTTATTTTGAAACGTTTTGGGAAACTACAAGCTCCTAACAACCATCTTTCAGATTCAGAAATTTCTCCTACATCTTCTATAGAAATAACTTCACTTCCAGGTTTTCTTCGTATGTAAGCATGCTCAATAACTTTTTGACTGTTTGTAAACACAGTATCTCTTCCTTGTTGTATAGTCAAACCAAAAAGCAAACAGAGACGACTAACTTCTTCAGGCTGTCTAATATCCATAGCATTTTTTGCACCACTGCTAACAATTAGATTCTTTTTACAACCATTAGAAACTAAATTTCTTCCTTTTGCAATTGTCCATACTCTGCATAATCGATTTCTTAATAATTGTGAATATTCAATTTCAAAATGCATTCCTTTGTTTGCAGCTTGCTTAATATGGTTCTTTTTGATTAAAAATGGCAACATTTCTAAGTTTAAAGATATTATATCAATATTCATATTGTTAAGAATATATTTGAACATTTTTTCATTTTCAGGCTGAACTGATAAAATATCATATAACTTAACCACATTGGAATGCATTAAATAATGACAATGAATTTCTGTTGACACAATGGCAGTTAAACGTGTTAAAACTCTAACTGATTCATTATCCTTTTTAACTTCAACAAACTGAATTGGTTTAGGAATTTCTGTTGGTTTCTTAATAATTTTAAAATCAACAATAGTATTCAAAGCAACAGTAGAATAACCCCATGTCACTGCTGTCTTTATATTTCTTTGTAAGAGATCTTCATCAATATTATTTGAATTTTGGGATACAATAATATTTAAGTCCATTATATCAGTTGAAAATTGTATATATTTTTTTTAAAAAAATGCTATTATTTGGCCCGTAAATTTTTAACTCAGCACCTAAAAAATAAATATGTAATAAATATTAATTAAATATAAATAGATTATACATCTTATTGTTACAATACACAAAATTGAAAAAATCATATAGATACTATAACTCTTCACCTAATCGCTCATAGGCGATTTGAATGCAAGTTTTATTGGAAAACAGACAATATGATTACCTGGAAGAATTATCTGTTTCAATTACATCCTTTAGAAAACATGCACCATTGCCAACATCTTGTGAAAATCCTCTAAACAGACCTGAAATTTCTCCTAAAACTAAGTTGCCCCTAAATACTTTTTCTCCAGATGCAATGCATATAAAAAATATTAGTCTTTTGGCTATCCAGAGAAACAAATCTTCACTTTATGGCACAGGTCACATGGGCTCAGTTGAGCAAAGCATCATGTAATAAAGCAACCTGTGCACATCTTGCTGCAAGAACAATCATGAGTTATGACTTGGAAGCTCCTACTCATCGTTTTTAAAAATACAGTAGTTGTTTTATTTTGTTCCATAACTTTGAATTTAAAATAATTTGATATTAACATCAAATTATGCCAAGTGTTCTCATTAAACAATAAATTTAATGAAAACACTTAGTTTATTAATCAAATTTCAATTCAATCCATAATGCACAATGAAAATTTGTGTCAATGTTATAATTTTCTGCTAGTAAAATATTTATATGAAAATGGCATTGTCAAAGGTGAAAAAATGACATAGCAAAGTGAGGAAAAAGGCAAAAAATATATATACTTTAAAAAATACATATTTTATCCAAATTCATTAAATCAAAAATGTATGTTTAGAATTTCACTTATTAACAATGACCATTCTAATTTATTAGCTGTAATTAGATTACAAATTATATAGATAAAAGGAAAATAAATTAAATATATATCTATAGTCTATCTTTCTTCTTTATGTAAAAGAAAATTTTGAAATGACAGAATTAAATGATAAAACCGTCTAGATCAGGGGTCGCAAACTCAAATACAGCAAAGGGCCAGTCAAATAGATATATATCTGACACAGGCTTTATTCAATAATATTCGGTAAACTAAAACATACTGTAATTTTAAAAAAAGCCTTTTGTTGTCAGGCCTTTACAACTTTGTACAGTTTAGACATTTGAATTTTTTCTGTTTTAATCCCAGCAAGATGTTAGAAACATTGATTTTTAGAAAAGAAATCATCAAGGTCATAGGCTAGATATGAAGCCTTAACAGGCTGTATCCGGCCCACAGGCTGCCAGTTTGTGACCCTTAATCTAGATGGTTAAATAAAATACCAATTCTTTATTAAAATTGTAGACATTAAAAAAATAAGAGTTTACTGTTAAAGAAGTCATAAAATATTTAGGTACATAGCCAAATGATCAGTTTTAAATAATCAGGCTATAAATCTGTTATTTTTTATAATTAATACCAAGTAATTTGCTACTAGAGGTAGCAAATTACTTAGTATTAGACATTAGGCACCATCTCTTATCTAAATTAATAATTATAATTTAAATAATTTATTAAATAATTTTGTTGTAGGTTCAAGCTCTGCCCCGGATCAGTTCTTTTCTTTCAGATGATTCTAAATTATTTAATAATTTATTTAAATTATAATTATTAATTTAGATAAGAGATGATGCCTAATATTTACCTCAGTAGCAAATTACTTAGTATTAATTATTAAAAATAACAGATTTATAGCCTGAGTATTTAAAGGCAATCGTTTGGCTATGTATCTATTTACTATCAGGCTTTGGGTTGTTTAATATACTTAAATATTTAGATACTTCTTTAACAAAAATTTTTTATCTTTGTTATTTACAGAGCCATTAGTATGGAGACAATAACTATTATTAAATGGAACAATCATTCTCACAATTATTAAATTACAAATTACTGTGTCCTTTGTTTTATACATTCTTACCAGTCAAAAATCAATACCTATTTTACAGATATTGATAGTTTATTTTTATTTTTTAAATTTGTTTAGATTTTGTTTACTTCATTTTGAAATGATTCAAATATATGATTCTGATAAAGCTGAAGCAATTGGAAATGCAAAAGTTAAAGCAAACTTGGCATATGTCCAAAGTTATTTTGGAGATATTCCAAATCATATTGCTGAACTGGAAAGCAAAAGATTACTGCTAGTGAGAGCTGTTGATATCATCTATGAAACCAAGAATAGTCTTTCCATAGCTCCTAGTATCATCACTAATAAATACAGTGTATTGTATATAAATGCACTCTATATAAAATGCCATCTGTCACTATCCAGTAAACTAGTTTGGTGGCTGCGAAAACTTTGAGTTCTCTTGTAATTTTGTCTGAACAAAAAGAGGTGCTGGAAATTCAGTAGTGTACAGTAATACTAAATATATTATAAAAATCTTTTGTTTGGAGATATGCATAGGTGATTATCTAATTATTATTACAGTACAGTTTCAGTAATCCTACATATGGGACATATATGCAGTGTCAAATTATTGGACATAAAATAGATTCAATAGCACAAACAAGTTTGACAAGTATAGTCATGAGCTAAACACAAGTTGGACTACTGATAAAAACATCTGACTGCAGTGCAATTGCCTGTAATAAATGATACCAAGTTGTTGGATTTCCACTAAATTTAATAGGAAATTAAAGTTTCCACAGGGAATTTTCTTGGGAAATCCAGTATTTTTGGTGGAAATTTCAGGGAAATGATTTTTATATTTATACAGTATTTTGTTATAACATACTGGGTACTCTTCAGTTAACAGGATGCCAGTCAATCAATGAAATCTGATTTGTGTTTATATTTTAATTTTTTCTTTAATTTACATTAAATTGTATATACAGTTAATTAGATTGAAAACTTTCCCTTTTCTCTAAGATTGTATAAAAAATATAAAAGTCAATTATGTATTTAAACAATGACTGTTAATATGTGTTTGATATCAAAAACTATTAGCATATTTTGACATTAGTGTGATTGTAGAAATGAAACTTTTCACATCTTTTTGTTTATTTTATGCATAACATGTTAATTAATGTTTTTTTATTTTGAAGTAGAAAATTAAAAAAAATTAAAATTAAAATCAGCACTTGTAATTTATCATCATCTTACTTTGCATAGTTCTGCGACTCATATTTACATCATTAATGTAATGTGATTATGTAAATTATGGTTATGGTTAAGCATGAAGTAACTCAGATTATGAAACTGTATAATTTTGTTCATTGGGCTTAGTAATTCTTTTAGATGTATTTTTTGTTTTCAACTGATAATGGATTTTACACTTTGGGAATTATCAAATGATAAAGAATGGTGCTATTTGTTTTTTTCTAGAAAAAAGAATTTTGCATTGTGAAAGATACTGTGCAAAAAAACATAAAATGGCATTGTATTTTTGCTCTTCCGAAGCTCCAAAATTGAGATGCCTTACCCGGTCCTGTCAAGAAAAGAAGGGTGTTAAAAGTAATAATTGGTTTGAAGGATCACATATTTCTTTTTTGAATGCTGAATGGTTCATTTACCTATGGTGTTTGGAACTAACCTCTGGAGATTTCTGCCAAATGCAGTTAGAAATCAATCCCAGCACAACTGTAGATTGGAACTACTATATGCGGGAGATATATGCAAACTCTTTAATCTGTCGATTTAATGTAAAAATAGGCAGTGAAAACAAAATAGTAGAGATAGATGAAAGTCTATATACACATAGCAAATATAATATGGGGCGCATTCTTCTGCAACAGTGGGTTTTTAGCGGAATGTACAGGAATACCAGAGTGTTTTTTTAGTAGCCGTACATGATTGTTCTGCCAAAACATTGACAAAAGAAATTTGAAATAACATTACAGAAGGAAGCATAATATATTCTGACTGTTGGAAAGTTTAGTTCCAAGTAAACCATTTCCAAGTAAACCATAAGTATAACTTTGCAGAGCCTAATAAAGGCTGTCATACTCAAAATATAGAAAGGTTGTGGGGATAGTGAAATGAAGTTCATTCTGAACTTCACATAACCATTTAGATTCACATCTAATAGAATTTGTGTAGTGCAGACAATATTCCAAAAATGAAATGTTTACAGCAATATTAAATGACATGCCCAAGTTTATGTCACCAGTTTGATACAGCAAATATTTGCAGAATGTTTCAGTTTGTAATTCTTTAATTTTGTAGAAAGTTTTTTGTATTATTATTATTTTATAAATATTTATTTCAATATGTATAAAATACAAAATAAAGTAACAATTTCACTAAAATTTACTGAAAATGACTGGCATCCAGTTAACCAAAGAGCACCCACCAGAGTAAGGTGTTAAAAGCAAAGCCATATTGACCAGATTGGAGTTGTTCTTGGTCTACTGTTCTCTTATAATTTGGAGACATTTGGATCTAAACAAATGAGTTAACATATGCATATAACAGTTCAAACAGAATTTTCACTTCAAATTTTGAACTAACCAAATTCTTTAACATATAAATCTCTATATCCCCAGCAAGAACAAAAGTACAGTTATGAATTAATGGTATTTCAAACTCTCCAAGTTTGAATTAAAGAGGATTTCCTGTGTGTGTGTGGGTGTGGGTGTGTACACATTTTTGAAACTGATGACTTCTAATACAAAATAAAATAAATTAAGAATATTTCTTCACTTAATTGGCAATGAATTTTAATGCTAAGAAAATCAATATATAGTTCAACATCTTTCTTGTTTTGTTTAAAATGTTCAATGAAGTAAATTTGACTTAATTTCAGCATCATCATCATTACATATTTTGTAATATAAAAAGAATGATATGAACCAACAATATAAAACACAAATGTCAGATATGGTAGCTATTATATACGATTGGAATGTAAATCTCTTTAATCCGAATAAATTCAACACGGTAGATTTCCTCTCAGCTATCAGGTTAGGCAATCCTTTATTGCAATTCACAAATGCGTTTCGAGCTTAAACAAAATCTAAGCCCTCTTCAGTATAAATGCTACGTATATTAAAGGAACAAAAAATTAGTTAATTCACCAATTTTTATGCATGAAGATCATCATTACAGACAAAATAACTTTTTACATACCTCAGAAGGCAGAGCAGCACTTTTTTAAATTATACAGATACACTTAGCTATGTTTTTTTTTAAAAAACTAAAAAACATGAGTGTGTATCTGGTGACCAAGTACAAAGATACAATAAAATTTTATGTTAAAATCCGTAGATATACATTTTTCCATAAAAATATCACAATAGTAACAACTTGATATTTTTGTACTTAAAATACCTTGCATGGTATTGTTATATTTTAAACCATGGCACATCTTTTAAACCGCTATCAGAAACTGCAATTAAAGTGGCAGTTTTACTGGTTATAGATAAATGATTTAACAATTTTAGAAAAAAAACTATGCATACTTAATGTTTTCACTACTTTTTAAAGGTTTTTTTTTTTTTATAAAAAACTAAGGCACATTCTTTAAAACACTATCAAAACAGCTGCAATTAAAATAACAGTTTTACAAGATATAAGTAAATAAACTCTCCAAGTTTATTTACTTATATCAAACTAACTTTTAAGTTAGTTTGAAGAGTTTACTTATATCTTACATCAAATTTTATTGTATCTTTGTACTTGGTCACCAGATACACACTCATGTTTTTTAGTTATTTAAAAAAAAACATAGCT